AGTGTGACTATAGCCATCCATGACAGCGTGCCTATGTCAAGCAAGAGAGCCTTTCCGCGCCAGTCAGAACAGGCGAGGCAGTGGAAATGTGCTAGAGCACAAAAAGAGAGCGACTCCGATTCAGAAATCGGGTCTAGTGAGGAGGCTGACGCTGAGTCTGTGGATGACTCTGATGACGAATTTTGTGGGCAGAAATCTGACCCTTTTGGCCCTGCTCACTCCGCGGTGGTTGCGAGCGGCCCTAGGAGCGACTCCCCCGCTAATGCGGGCTCCACCCTCATGGATCCGTCTGGGGAACCCATGTTTGACCCGGATGCTCTCCATCATCCGAGGTCGGCGGAAGGGCTCCCAGCGGACCATGTAGAACGGTACCTTGAAAACTGGGTACGACGCCCCCTCAGTAAGGCGGCACATAATAAACTTAGGGCAGAATGCCCAAGACCATTGGTATCTAGCAAAGTCTATGAGACCCCTGCAGTGGACCCAAAGATGACCCAATTCCTCTCCAAAATGGGTTGGAATCCCTGCAAGGGTCTAGATTCAGCACTTAAATCGTGCCAAGATAAACATCTGGACATATTTGGCCCTTTGTCCAAACTGTTTGATATGGCTGAAATTGCCAGAGCCAAGAACCGGCAAGTTGACCCGGAGGAAGTCCGTGGTTGGGTGCAGAGGGCAATCTGCATTGCGGGCAGCGTAAACACCTATCGTCCATATGGGGTCCTTTTGCTCTCAACCTCTTCGCGTCCAGGCTCAATACCCAATTACCCCGGTTCTACAGCTGGCGCCGGGATCCAACCGTGGAGGCAGTGGATGCCTTCCTACAAGACTGGATTGGCTCACTCCTCTATGCCTTCCCCTTGTTTGCCATGATACCTCGGGTCCTGCTCCAAGTTCGCTGTCAAATGGCCGACCTGATCCTACTAACCCCATTCTGGGGGACCCAATCCTGGTTCCCACAACTCCTTGAACAGGCGATAGATGTGCCTAGACTGCTGTCGTCTCTACCGAACCTCCTCCTGGACCCTTAGGGGCTCCAGCATCCCCTCCTAGTGGATGGGTCATTACTACTGCTCGCGTGGAGGATTTCAGGAGTCCCTGGGAAATCCAAGGGGTTTTCGTACGCAACTCGATGCCTCCTGGCTGACGCATAGGCTCCCGGGACTAGACGAGCATATGGGACCGCTTGGAGAGCTTGGACTGGCTGGTGCCTGGCTCGGAACTTGGATCCCGTTTCAGAACCTGTGACTGCGATCCTTCTATTCCTGACTTCGTTGTTTGAAGCTGGTCGGGCATATCGCACGATTAATTCGTACAGCTCGGCCATCTCCTCGGCTCACCAAGGATTTGACGGCTGCCCAGCAGGCCAACATCTGTTAGTGTGCCACTTACTTAGGGGCTCACGCCTGTCGCACCCCTCTAGACCTCGTTACTCATCTACATGGGACGTTTCCTGCGTTTTGTCGCTGTTCTCCTCCTGACCGCCTAATGTGGAGCTCTCCCTGCGACAGCTGTCGGCCAAGTTGGTCTCCCTGTTCTTTCTCATTTCATGCAAACGGGTATCGGATGTTCGTGCCCTGGACTATGATGCTAGGTCTTTCACTCCGGACGGGGTGACGTTTAACATCTCCAGACGCACCAAGACCGATATTCGATCGGTTTCTTATCCGAGCTTCCCTGGTACTCCGGCCCTATGTCCGGTGGCCTGCTTATGGGAATATGAACTTTGAACGAGCGCACATCGAGCAACGTTGTCTCCCCAGCTCTTTCTCTTGCTTCGTTGCCCCTTCTCCCCTGTGTTCAGTTCTACATTGGCTCGCTGGGTGAAATGGGTGATGTCTCTGGCCAGCGTGGATATGTCCATCTTTGGTGCCCACTCAGCTCGAGGGGCATCGGCCACGTCCATGGTGAACTCAGGTGCACGTCTGGAAGACCTGATGAGAATGGCCGACTGGTCCTGCGAATCCACATTTTGTAAGTTTTACTTTCGACCTTTGCCTCATGTTTTTTCTCCGGTTATTGATCAGCTTTAAACTTGCAATATGAGCCTCCGTGTCTTGACATAAAATTACATGATTTTGCTATTTCATGACGAAAAGTCATGATTTTATGAAAGACACGGAGGCGAGTATTGTCCCACCCTTCATAGTTATTTTACTGATTTACCCCACCCGGTTGTTTATTCTCTCCTGCAGGTTTTCCTGGGTTGGTAGGTATTCATTATGCGCTCTGGGTTTTGTATAGTTTCAGCCGTTTATTAACCTGTTCATGTTATATGATTCTCCAATATGCCTATGTTGAATTATGCACACTGTGTTTCTTCTGTCTAGTTATAAAATTATGTCTTGGCATGCGCACTTTGGTTCAAGTACCGATTTAACTATTCGGCTCCTGTCTTTGTGTTTTCACAGGTTGATTCGATGTTGATCGCGGGTCTTCAGCACTTCTCTCTCGGCTTCACCAAGTGGCCAGGAAGTTTATGGACAATGCTGTGATGGGCCCCTCACTGTTGGAATCCTGTTTACTGATGGATCGGTCCCAGTTTCGTTATGGTTCCTGATCGGAGTCCAGCTAGATTTCGGATGACCTGTTCTATTTGGTTTGGACTGTTTCATCGTTTCTGTTTTGTGGTTATTGTGTTGCATCTCCAAAGAAAGAGGAAATGTGTGGGGATGTGCTGGCTATTATACTGGGACTTGGTATGGGTGTGGCCTATCACTATGGTTACCATTTTTCTTACTGTTGTATTCTTTGCTGCTATTGGTGGACAGCCTGTTCAGGTAAAGGACTTACCAAGGTGTCAACCCATTTACTTGAAGGATAGAAGGGACCATATATTTAGACGCCCATAACAACTGGATTTTCAGGATAGGAGGGACCATATATTTAGGCGCCCATGACAACTGAATTAATTATACAATATTTTCTAAACATAACTACAAGGGGATGTGTGGACCTATCAATGTGGACCATGCTTGGTAGATAGCACATGAGTAGTAGAAGTATTGTTTAATGTCAGGGAGTCTCATTGACACATGCATCAGTAGCCTCATTGACCCGTGCAACATTCAGGGTGGTCTGCTCCTCCACACATGCTGAGATAAGCTTCTGGAATTTCTTCAACATGGCATTGGGGGAACTATGGACAGTGTGTAAAACAGATACAAAATAATGGGTGGTGACATTGTTTTTGTCTCCCACTCTTCCTAACCATGAAAGCACAAAGGTTGTCCGTGATTTGATCTTATTTTCCAACTCGGAGAGAAGTTTGTGATGATTTTCTTTAATTAAGGAATTAAGTCTTTGTGAGATAGATCCTTAAATAGTCTATTGTATAATAGTAAATTAGTCTAGATATATAATAGTCTAGATATCTAATTAGTCACTATTCTCCAAACAAAGAGGTAGGTTGAATTGAGTTATTTAACCAATTGGACAGAGATCCCTATTAAAAGCTAGCATTTTTTCTTTGTACATGGATCTACTTGAATGTGGATATCCTCAGACTACTGCCTTGTGTGTCAACCAAAGGGTTGAGGTAGAGACTTCTGGTGAATAATTTTGGATTCTGCGAGATGCAAAGTTTCTCACAGATGCCGGAATCTCCAAAAAGCATGTCATTCTGTCACCAGGCCTCCCTCCCCTACAAGGGAAACTAGTGTGAAATAAAAACTCTGGCATGGTTGGACCATGTTGTTGTACACATCCTGCATGTAACTTAAAGGACCACTCCACACTTCCAAACCCTCACCAAAAAAAACAACAGTTAAGTAGATATATCCTCAATGAATACATCCATGCATATTTTCATGTATGTATTCATTGGGAATATTGTGACCAAGTCAAGCAGCAGTTCTTATGACAGCAGACTTTGTAAGCCCCTCCCCTTTTTCCCCAGAGGAGACTTTCAGTCTCTTCACAAGGAAATAACCAATCAGAGGCTTTTCAATGTGAAGCCTATGACTTGATCACACGTGCATGCGAATGCTGGTTCGTGCATGCACTTGTGTGCACCCAGTCGCATGTGCAGGGATGAAGCTGTCGAGCTGGTCTGAGGTCTATGAGAGAGGGAAGTAGAGCGTGCTTGCCACTTCTGTTAGCTCAGGGGAGCTAATGGAAGTAGGAGTAATCCTTCCTGGCTGTTTGACAAGCAGGGGGAGTTCCCTGGTTAAATCAGCACTTTTATAAACTGGGGTGAAATAAGAATACTGGAACTTTCCAATATGCACCCCGGTGTAAGTGTCCAATGGTGTATCTGAGCAGGGTGAGGATGTGGCCAAGCAGCCATCATCTTGATCTCCACAGGTTCCTTCTTTTTTAGCTAATTTTGAGGTCTCAGCTGCTCTGTGGGCTTTTGAAAGGTGCATAATGCTGTTCCAAGGTAATTAGCCACCAACATGCTTAGTCCATGTGTCCTCTCTTTGGCTGTTAACCCTCCCCCTACATCTTTTAATTTACATACCTACTAGCGTTATTCCATTCAATTATCAATAAAATTGTAAGATAGGGGGCGTGGCCAAACACTCGATCTTCATGGACGTGCATCCGTAGAGCTCTGAGAAATTATCTCCATCTCCCCCCTCATCCCCAGCACCATCACTGGAAGATAGCCCCCTCACTGTGGCAACGATGAAGTCCTTCATGGCAGACTGCGCCAAGTAGATGCAGGACACTATCACTGGCCAGATGAAATCACTGGTGGGAGTACTCAGGAAGGAGCTGCAAGACTTGGGCCTACGCACATCTCACATAGAGAACTTCATCAGCAAGCAGGCCACAGCACACAATTGCATGGCGGACAAGATTCAACAACTAGACCTTATCATGAAAGAACAAAATCTCAAGATTGCGGACCTGGAGGATAGATCCAGGAGAAATAACCTCTGCATCAGAGGAATCCCCAAAACCTCTGACAGACTGCAAGGCTACCTTCTATCCTTCTTCCAGGACCTCATACTGGAAGCACATTTGGACCAAGTGGTGCTGGACAGAACGCATAGGCTCAGGAGGCCAAAACACCTCCCAGCCTCGACGGCCAGAGATGTTATTACCAGGGTGCATTTCTTCCAGGTGAAGGAGCAGATCGTTAAGGCGGGCAGGAACGGTGACCTACCTGAACCATATTCGGTACTGAAGGTTTTTACCAACCTGTCTGCACAAACCTTCCAATTCCAGAAATCCCTGGTGCAAATCACCACCATGCTGAGAGCGCACAATGTCCCTTACCGCTGGGGATTCCCTGCCAAGCTCATAGTCCATCATCACAACTCCAATCATCCCATCGCTTCCGTGGAAGAGGGTGTAAGGAAATTGACCGAGTGGGGCCTACCCAGACCAGACGTACAACTGGACCCCACGGCTAAAATCCCCAGACTGTCCGTGGACTGGTCTATGGCCTAACATAGTGGCTGAGTATATTCCTGCATAACTGCTAAACCATTTAATTTGTGTTCATGACGTTCTTTCCGGTTCCCTCTCCTTAACTATAGTTCTAATAGGGTTGTCATGTTGGCTTAACTTTCAGGCCCTGTACACCGACAGAAAACAAATAAAAAAGGCTGCGCCACACAAAATAAATATAATAGGATAAAAATAGTATATCCCAATAAAAAGTCTTAACTTGACAGTTCTTTCTTTAGGTCAAATGGTCTGTAACGTGCTTGGTCAGGGATAATGTCCACGTGGGCCTTCCCTGGAAGGATCCAATAATATGCAAAGACAAAAGATAGAACCAAAATAGTGCGATATATCCAACAGGGTAAAATAGAAGATAAAGATGGTAGTGCACTCACATGAGTAAGAGCTATAGCTAGCTCTAGTATGGACAGCATACAGCGGTACAATCCCCACTTATGGGATATGGTGCAGGTGTCTTGCTTCAAAGGTATGTTCAACACTCAAAGAGAATAAAATAGAGACAACCAATAGTGCTTTCTGAATAAAACAATGGTGTTAAAATATATATAAAAAGGTACTCACAAGGGTGGGGCAGACAAACTGCCCACTGGTATAAGCGTTGGTGGTTTGATCCCCACCTAGGATTTCTTCAAGTCCACAATGATCAAAATGCCAGGTAAAAAACAAAAATTATTATAGAGTGTATAAAAGATGATTGGCACAAATAAAAGTAACCAAAAGATCTTTAATGAGTAAAATACACAATATAAAATCAACAAACACGTTTTGCCTAAAAAGGCTTTCTCAATATGGAATTAGAACATAATACCTGGCAGGGTGAGTTTAAATAAGGTAAGAATTAATTAAAATTGGCGCCTAAAATCCGGTCAGCCAATTAAAATACAGATATAAGTAATATTAATAAAACATGTTGATAAGATAAAAATAACATTAGGATATAGTAGTGAACATAGTGTATTACATTACGCTGGATAAAAAGTTTTAGTGCGGCAATGGGAGTTGGGAAATGTAGTCGGCATGCACGCATGCGCACGCACTAGGGGCAGCCGTCGGCACTCATGAGTATTGCGGGAAGTGGGGGCTGAGACTAAATAGCCAATGAGGGAGGGGGGCGGGCAGGGAAGGCAGGGACATGATGAATGGCGAGAATAGTGATCGTAGCCGTCGGCAAGATAGGGGGAGAGGCGGAACAAGGAAGTGGCATGGGATAAATACATTAACTGAAACAGATATATAAATACAATATCAAAAACAAAGTAAAGTAATACAGAAGGAATACACAGCATATATAGGGCTAGTCATCCTATCCAGCACAATGTATATTGAAGAGGCACACAGACAGTTAAATTACCAAGCTCCCATCAGACCCAACAATGCAAATACAAGCTATGTTAACTACATTTTTAAATAAAGGTTTAGATTTGAATATTTTAATGAAACATGAATTTAATTTTCTTAACAAGAAGTTCCCTAAAATCCCCGTAATATACTTCCTTCCCAAAATACATAAACACTTAACCAAACCCCCTGGTAGACCTATTGTGTCTGGTATAGGCTCCCTCCTTTGTAATCTTCCACAATATATTGACACCCTCTGTAAAGTTAATGAGATCCTACTTACAAGATTCTATGGCCCTTTTAAAGTTCTTGAGAGATTTTAATTGGAAATCCACTTTTACTCTCGTCACATGTGATGTCCAATCACTATATACGATCATACCTCAAACCAATGGCTGTCAAGCAATTAAATAAATTTTAACCAATGAAGGTAGGATAGCCGATATCCAAATTGACGTTATCCTCGAAGGTATAGATATCATTTTAAAAAATAACTATTTCTAGTTTCTTAACTCCTTTTATCTCCAAAACAGAAGGATTGTTATGGGGACTAGGTTTGCCCCCAGTTACGCTAATTTATTCATGCACACTGGGAATCTGAAGCCATTTTTGGTGACCATGCCTGGAGGACAAGCCTAGTCTTCCATTTTAGATATATTGATGACCTCTTTTTTATCTAGAAAGGCACAGAAGATAGTCTTATTTATTTTATTAACCATCTCAACACCAACAATGGAGGTATCATTTTAACTCACGAATATAGTAAGGAACATATTAATTTTTTAGATCTCAATATTTTTTATCCAAAATGGTCAAATACACACTAAAACATTTTTTAAGAAAGTTTGTGTAAATTCTGCCATTGACAAATCCAGTTGTCACTATCAACCCTGGCTCGACAGTGCCCCCAAGAGCCAAATTTTAAGACTTTGGAGAAATTGTTCACAATTAAATGATTTTAAACAACAAGCAGATTTTTTTTTTTTTTTTAATTATTGAAAAAAATTACTCTGAATCAATTTTAACAGATACTGTCAATAACATTCAACAGAAAGATAGAGACGAACTCTTGACATATAAAACAAAAGAGACTGATGGTACTATGTCCCTACCTATTATTTTTAATTACAATAATAAAAGTGGCAATATTAAGAAAATCATAAAAAGACACTGGCACATTATAAAACATGATGATACTCTTAACAAAATGTTACCAGAACATCCCAATATAGTTTTTAGAGGAGCCCCTAATTTTAAATCAATTTTAACTAAGAATTTTACAAGGGAAACAAAAATCAAACCATCTTTATCACTGTTCCCCCAAATTAAAGGTTTTTGTAAATGCAAATCTTGTATAGTACCATCTAAAGTTTCACAATTTGTTTCTAATGTAACAAAAAAGGTGTACAAAATTAATGATTTTATCAACTGCACTACAAAAAATGTTATTTATCTGCTCGAATGCCCCTGTGGCCTCCAGTATGTTGGAATGACCACAAGGTGCTTAAAAATAAGACTAAGTGAACATTGCAGAAACATTAAAAACTGTCAAGTTAAGACTTTTTATTGGGATATACTATTGTTATCCTATTATATTTATTTTGTGTGACTCAGCCTTTTTTCTTTGTTTTCTCTCCTGTTGTGTTTTAAGGCTACTTTGAGGGATTCCCTTTGTGGTTGCTGCCTTATCCATTACTTCGCGCTGACTCTTTATTTTAATTTTACTCCTGTACACCGACACCAACACTACATTGACCCAGAGGGCCGTTACATAATACTAGTGGGCATCTTCAATACAACCCAATACACATTAGTCTTGGTCTACTTGCCTAACTCAGACTCACATAATTTTTTAAGCATTATCATCCAGAAAATAGAAGACTACCGTCAGGGGGGCCTCATTCTATGTGGAGATTTCCATTTCATCCAATCACCCCAATTAGATACGTCTGCAGGCCCTCTGGTAGCAGATGTAAAAAGCTATCCAACTCCTGCAAATGTCTTACCGCACTCATTTCTAAACATGGATTTTATGATGGCTGGAGAGTCACACACCCTGCGGAGAGGGATTATACGTTCCACTCTGCGGTACACGACACCTACTCCCGCATAGACACATTTCTCTTGGATAATGCATCCCTAGCCCAACTATCTGACTGTACTATTGGTTCATTTGCCTGGTCTGACCACTGCCCGGTTTACTTAACGCTACATGACTTCTTCCAATACAAGGGCAAAGGTAACTGGAGACTCAATGAATCTCTTCTCGCGAACACCCCCTTCACCTCACACGTTGGCAAAGAACTTGAACAATACTTTCACCTTAATAGTGGAGGAGATGCTTTGGATACATCAATCTGGCTGGCCCATAAGGCAGTTGTCATAGGCTTGTTCATTAAGAGGTCAGCGTACCTAAAATGACAACAATCACAAACAAATAGCAGACCTGTCAACACAGAACAAGTCTAATCAAGTCTAATCCAACGGAAGAGCAAAAATACAGCAGGCTTACCAGAAGCTACACACAAAAACTTCCTAAACAGGCAGAAAGCCACCACCTACTACTCCTGTGGAAAAGCGAACAAATACTAAGCAGCGAGGTTGCAAGAGAATCTCTCCACTAACAAAATTGCACACATCATTGGTGAGGACGGGATAAAGAGACTGGGACCTCATGAAATTAGTGACACCTTTGCCCAATTTTACTCTAACTCTTTAACTTGAAAGATGACCCCACCACACACAATCCCACCGATTTGGAGATAGGAGCATTCCTTGATAGTGTTAATCTCCCGCAATTTACACAAACGCACACAAAGGACCTGCTTAGACCCATCTCACTACGGGAGGGGGAGGACACCATCTGGAGTCTGCCAAGCGGCAAGTCTCCCGGAGTGGATGGGCTCTCCAACACATAGTATAAAAAATTTGCTCCGATACTAGCTTCGCACCTACTCAGGTCCTTCCAGCAGGCGATGGATAGGGGTGGCCTGCCATCAGAGATGTTGCTGGCCACTATAGTCACCCTACCCAAGCCTGACAAATCGACTGACAATTGCAAGAACTTCCACCCCATTTTCCTTCTCAACACAGATGCAAAACTCTACACCAAAATACTTGCAAACAGACTCATTGCCCTCCATCATCAAACAAAACCAGACTGGCTTTGTAACAGGATGTCAGAGACTGGATAACACCTCTAAATTATCTGTGGTACTCCAGCAGCTCAGGGGAGCTAGACAAGGCAGTCTACTGCTTGCACTAGACGCGGAGAAGGCTTTTGACCACCTTGGCTGGCCCTTCCTGAGAGGGGATTTGGGGCATTGCCCAATCTCCACACATATTACTATGCAACAGTCCTGGCTACTGCCTCCCACATTTTTCATCTAGACCCCCCACCCCTCTGATGGGTGCATTTGGAGAGGGTACTTCTGGCCCCACATGCCCTGGCCAACCTGGTATGGATACCGAAAGGATCCAGGTCCAACACCTCCCTCGCCCCCCCTTGCAATTCGGCTACTCCTGAGAGTTTGGGACAAGCACAAACAAGCACTGTGTGGCCATATGGGACTGTCTCTAGCTATGTCCCTCACTTATTGTGACTAAGTGGCTACTAAAAAAGG